GCCCCCGCCCGGCGCAGAAATCGTGGCCCACTTAGACGACATGAACATCGTATGCGACCCAACCGATGCACACTACATCCTGCACGATGTGCAAATTATCTTACATCATATGTGTTGCATCGACATGCATACGGGAAAATTTGTGATATGGGGGAATACCGAAGCACCATGCCAAAAAGACATTGCGGACACATACCCACGCGCTTGGAAGTGCGATGCGCCGCTACCAGAACGATAACGAAGCAGCCATACACCAAAAGCGCGGCATGCCAAACGCGTGCCAACTTGGCCTGGACCGCCAAATGCGTGCCGAGCGGACGGAGGGAAGAAGAAGGGCGGTTACCGAGCGTGCCGAGCTACCAGAACGGGGGGGTAAAATTCTCGGAACACCACTGGGGAGCTCGGAATTTGCGCAGGCATACGGGACTACGTTTTTTGATTTCTTTACCATCTGCGTGGTTACTACTATACTATTGCGCAGTCCCTCGGCTAAACCATTTGCTCCGTACTTTGCCACCGGATGTTGTGCGACCACTTGCTGAACATTATGATCTATCAATTCTGGACACATTCAAAACGCTATTTGGTATATCGGGGCCAACTACATGGGAAACGCAATTACATGGTGTAGCGTACGATATATGGATATTGCAAGCACAATTACCATTCCGAATGGGTGGGATGGGTCTCCGAAGCTCTTGCCGAACGGCTCCGGCGGCATACTGGGCTAATTGGGCCGACGTGCTCCCAAACATCGTACGTAAATTCCTGGGCGTTGGTCGCAAAATCTTCCACCACCTTACTTCATACCGCATGGGTGTGCTCGGCTGTCCACAGTGCTTGGTAGCAGCCGAACTGGCAGGGGCAATATGTGACAACAATGGTTGGATTGAACAGCCCATTTGGACGGATTTTTTTTTTTTTTCCCGCGCGCCAGCTCCCACTCTGTCGCCGCGAGCTCCTCGGAAGTGCACGCTCGAAAACCGAACGTGGGTGAAACCCAGCGAGTAGGAGGACGCAGCAAAGCAGCGTCAAAGGAGGAAGAGGCGGAGGAGGACGAACGGGAAGGCGACTGCCCGGGAGGCAGTCAGGCTCGCGATCACAAGACCTCCAAGTCGTCGAGGTTGGATGGCTCCAAGTGCGTAGGGGGAAGGTCCGTGTAAGTATGGTGGCACATGTCTGCTACTGACCTTTGCACGGCCATCCCCAACATCCCCCACCACCGATGCAACAATCCCAAAGCCGTACCCCGTCGTATAGCGCCGGGTAAATCTCGACAACGTTCCCGCGCCAATGCAAGGACTAGCGATACGCATTGTCGTCCCCATCTGCCATATACTTCGACACCCAAGCGCTGCAATGAGCCAAGTCCGGAGGATATCACGTCGGCATACGTAATGTTATTGTCGTGTTCCGCATTGTCTAAGAGCCGGCCTGCTTGGTTGCTTGTTCCCCCCCTGGGCGCTCCAGTACCACTGATTGGTGACACCACGGTTACGTCACAAAAGAGAGGCAGTCCGCGTTCCACACGCAGTCCTGGCACCACCAAATCCAATCGTCGCAAATCGTTGGATGAAGTGGGGATGTGGGTATTTGCCAACAGGCGTTCCACGTTTCTGTCAGGGATCAGAGCCCCTGCTTCGGTGAACACTTGCCTCCATGCTGCCACCACTTGTTGATGCCGACTGTTAAGCCTCCCATTGTGATTTGTTGTCATTGTTGCGTGCCCATGGGGGTCCCTCCCTTCGAATAGTACTGCAATCCCCAGCCGACGCCGAACTGCGCAGAGTATTTGTGCGTTCTCCATAACTAAGCTTGGCGTGGTAGGGCAAGTTGTCAACCATATTGACGCATAAGGCCCCATGCTGGCATGCACCCGTGCTTTACCCATCGTTGCTGCATTCCTCCGGGCTGTGGGGCCGCCACCTAAATCACGTAACAATTGTGCATGGGATGTGTGTTCGAGTGGGTCCGATGCGTGGAATTGCCATCCATGGGCCCACTCACCTAGCGCTAGCGGCTGCTCTGGCGGTGCGGGCGGGCGCTCCCCCATAGCGAGTTGTGCCCACAAGGGCCGTCCAGGCCATCCATTATTTGCACATATTCGCCCGGACCGTTCTGCCTGAATTAAACAGTCTGGGCAATCGTGGTCACCGTCGATGTTTGCCCCCGTTATCGCGTTGAGGTGGTAAAGCATATCACGACCAATTTCCGGAAAACCACGTGTGATATTGCGTAGGGAGTCCGCCCAACTCGCCCAGTAGGCCGCCGGGGCGAGCCGGCAAGAATTTCGCAATCCAAGTCCAGCGTACCGTAATGGCAATTGTGATTGAGCCAACCACGTATTGTAAGAGAGACCGTGTAGTTGATGATCCCAATTGTCGGGTCCGGGGATACCAAAGAGCTTCCGAAAAGTACTTGCAACATTGGTGTCGTGCGTCTGCGCTGCGATGCGAGATTGGCTCGGCGGCGTCGTCCGTAGTAGGTGGTTGAGTCGCGGCACGCCGCAGAAATATAATAGGAGCCACGCCATCTGCAGAGAAGGGAGCTTGGGTAATATGTTGAGTAGCTTCGCCTTCTCTGTAGCTTGCGCATTCCCAAAATGATCTACGTACGCGTTGGAACCAAAAGGTGCCCCTAGGACCCGCAATCCCCGCTCAAAATCAGGTTTGTCGTGCACCCATGCCGTAGGTGACCTGTCGGCCAGGCCTGGGGGGCAAGGGCCTCGGTTCTTACTCCAACCTGCCAGCTTACCAATGTTGACGTCGATTCGGCACACGTTCCGGAGCGTAGTGCGCACTGCATCGTAGATATGTGCGACGTCCATGGGGTCACAGACGATGTAGATATCATCGAGGTATGCGACGACTTCTGCCCCTTCTGGCAGCGCAGCTTTGATTTGCTCCAGCGCTGTGTGCAGAGCCAAGCAAAACAATGCCGGCATTAGGGCGTCACCTTGTTCTCCCCCATCCCCTTGTGGTATAGTATGTACTCGCCCGTGGTCGTCCTTCCATTTGTATTGTGATGGCACAGCATACCACATCTTCACAAATGGCACCAAACCGTGTAAGCGTTCATTCTGTAATAATTGTTCAAACATGCGTGCCCTGGAAACGTGGTCGAACGCGCCCACGCCGTCGATGCTCAGGAGCACTTTGTCGGGGTTCTTGTCCGTGATGTACCGTAGCAGATGTATGGCCGCATCTGTTCCGGACCGATCGTAGATGCCGAAATTGTGCGGCCACACGGCTTCCCGGAGAGGATTCTGCAATTGCTTGGCCAATGTTTTGGCCACCATTCGTCGAAACGTATCTCCGCTGGATATGCCACGAACCCTCGTGTTAGGTTTAAGTAGCGCAGTCAACGAAGAGAAGAGCATGGCATCCCTGATCGTATCTGGGATGTGCGGTTTAGCCAGGCGTTGGGCCACTTCATATAAAGCGTCGAAGGCCACTTCGTCCTCCAAGCCAGGTTTAAAGTGTTCGTACTTGCTACCCCACATCCCTCCGCTGAGCCCGCGCCTCGTCTGTCGCAACGTCGTGGCAAAGATGTCTCTGTCCAAATCTACCTGTTGGGCAAGAGCAAAGGCGTCGAGGTCATCGGGGAAACGGTCCGCAGCGCGTTGTGGCCGTAGTTGCGGGTTGGTCAGCTCGTCCAGTGTGGCCTGGGTGCCCGGGGCAATCCCTGTCGAAGTCAGCACCCTAGCAGCATGGCTCAATTCCCCACGTTTGATGAGAGACATGGCCTTATCAATCTTCTCTTTCTCTCCGGCGGTCCTCCCAGGTGCACGCGTAGAGCGGGAATTGCGTGTAGCAGTGTTGTTCCGAGCTCGGTTTAAGAGTTGGTCCCAATGTCCATTATCGAACAGAGCAATACGTTCGCGTAAATCACATTCACCTGCCTTCCCTCCATGCGCCGTGGGGTGGAGCAACATCCGGGGCAGCAGTAAGAATAACATCCATGCCCGAATGCAGTCACCCTCAGCACTCTCATCCCGGTCCCAACACACATGTGTTCTTTCTATTTCTACCAAGCATTGAGTCAGTATTCGTAGGAAAGGTCCGCGTATGCATTTCGGTATTGCTTGGATCGTTTGGATGTGATTGTCGACTTCGCTCCTGATATCGATTGCGTCGATGTGACGCCATCCATTTGGTAGGCGTGCCACTCCCGGGCGACCTTGTCGGTGAGTGCCACCTGGCATAGTCTGCGGCCGTTCCTGTGCAGTGTTTGTTGTAGGTTGTGGTTCGGCCGAGGTGCGCACTTCCGTCGGTCGCGGTGGTTCAGTTGGTCGAGATTCGTTTCTACCTCGTCGTGGTTGCGCCGGTTCTCGGGGTCGTACCACGTCGGTTAACCATCTTCGCACTTCAGGGGCTTTGAACAAGCCAACGGTAATAGTGAATAAGACCGTATCGAGACTGCGTGCGGCACCTGCCATGAATGCAATATCATCCAGTAGTCGTTCTTGCAATTCTTCTGGGAAGTACGCATTCACAACATAATACCTTCCTATAGTGTTGTGCGCGTGTAACCATGCAGTAAGACCACGGGCGTCGTGAATACCAATTTGACGCATGCCGTGCCGTATGCCATTGAATGCCTCCCGGACCGTCGCCATAGATATTAATGTATCGAAATTGTGGAAGATATAAGTAAATAGTGTGACCATTTGTTCGAGCCATCTCACCAGATTGTGATCATCAGTATCACCGGCGGCCGCCCAGAAAAGGGGGACGTAGAATGCTGACCAGTGTTGTTGTTCAATCTGTTCCAGCATGATTGCGTCATTTGCTCCAGCGGGAATTGAGTCAACAATGCGGAGTAGTTTTCGAGCTTGTGTGTAAAGGTCAGGCGTCGGTTGAGCAATACGTTCGCTAGAACCTGTCGAGGGAGCAAACTTGGGAGAATGGGCTCATGGATGGCAGTTTTTCATTTCCGACCCTCTGGAACGACACACCCGTGTAGAACTTTTCCAGATTCTCGCGCTTCCCACTCGCCAGGTCAATACAGTATCCCAAGGGAAAACACTAATTTATTCAGCGTCAAGCACGTTTGCGTCAACATGGCTGTTGGTATGCCCTACTACGGATGGTTTATGCATAATCGACGAATTATTGTGTTGCACGGTGCGGCGACCATTGGGACTGGCGGTTACAATTAACGGGCCGGGTTCATTTGGGCATGCATTGCTCGCTTCACTACTGGGTGGGCGAACGCACGACAGACACACGGAACTTATTGCAGCGCGGAGACAGGTACTCACAAAAGCGAGCAGCATCATACCAGACAAAACATCGAACGACAACTAAGCAGAACACACATCCCAGTACCGAGTGGCGACCGACGACGAATCGACATTGTCGTTCCTTGTTTGAATGTCGCTCGGGACTGCCTTTGTTCTGCGACGTTACTGTCATCTCACCAGTATCTGGGAATGGTGCGCCGCGAACAAGGGCAAGTAATTACGGAGGACGGTTGCTGGAGTATGCCGAAAGAGATAACAACAACAACTATCGGGAGGTTATCTCGAGCGGATTAGGCTCATTGCAGTGACTGGGGGTGGAGGTCTATGGAAGATGAGGGCCCCGAACTGTGCAATTGGTCCCCTCATTGGCACGTGAGAAGGCACGCAACCACCATCCATTGATACGGCGGGGTATGGCTCTGAATTTGCAACACCGCTGGTGGGGTTTACTAGGAGTGGCTGTGCAACGGGCAGTGGCGAGATCAGCTCTGAGTGAATTCGGGGATTTGGCCCGGACCCAGCTGCAACCAGAGTGCCCCCTAGCCAACCTGGAGCTTGTGCCGGCGTAGCCCTCCTCCTCCTCCTCTTCCTCCTCCTCCTCCTCCTTCTTTGGCGCTGCTTAGCCTGGTTTTTCCTTACTTCGCGCCGTAGGCATAAAGCGGGCACATTTTTCAGCTCGCGTCGATTGTCGCTCGAATCGCGCGCAGGTGTTGTGGGGGAAAAAAAAAACATTTCGCGTGGAAGGAGGCCCGAAACGGTCCAGCGAACGGAACTAATTGTTTTGGTTAGCGCAATGGGGTCCGTTCTTATTTTTTTTTGTTTGCGATAACAATGAACGTAACAAATTAGACGAAGAGACGCGAAGGTTTTTGAATAAAAGAGAACGTTGATAACATGTTATACCATGTGCACCATGTTTTGGACGCGGAGGCAGGGGAAGAGATCGGCATGGAATTACACACTACATAAATACATTCAAATAATTTCATAAAGCTTGCGACTTTCGCTTACGAGATCCACGTGGGAACATCATCAAATCAGCTGGGAATTCTTTCATATTTAGCGAGCAGCGCTATATATATATATATGGGTGGCCCTCCCCTATGGGCCCCCCTGTTTATTGATCGTGATGAAGATGTTAAGCACTTGATATCTTACACATAACATGTCGTGGATACTGTGCTCAATGATCGATATGTATGTAGCATAGTTGCTGCGCTATGCCTATGTATATATGCTGGTGAATCATATGTGTTTGGGCACTGAATGATGTGTTGTTTGGTTACGTAGTCACATTGCACGAAAATGATATAAAACGCAAATTCTTAAAATCTGGAGGGGTGACGAAAAGGGCGTCAGCCATTTGAATATAAGCTTGGTTTAGTAAGTGGCAGTTCTTTCTACACGGCGCTTTGTCAGCACCGCAGCAGAGATTCAAGCGCAGAAGCCAAATGGTACGACGATAATATCATGGCCAGCGCAGCATATATATTGTATTCCCAAGCTACTCAATCTTCTGCTTTTTGGTTAGCCGTCTTTCTGGCTTGACCGATTCTTCCTTTTTCAATGAGCGATAACACAAGCTCGGCTGTTTCTGCATATTCAAGAGAAAGATAAAGTTTACCACTTTGCACGTCCATACTTCATATTCGATCGGTTCCATATGCGGCAGCTCTTCTTTCACTAATTTGTATAGCTGTTTATAAGTAAATCCAGCATATTGACACATCTTTTCCATCAGTCTGACGTTTGGCCCCGCTAAATCATATAACATTTCGTCCGGCACGTAGATCTCAGCATCATACGCAATAAAGATCCAAAGTAGAATGTGCACTGCTCTGAAAGCTCCAATGCCAGTAATATTTGAAAGTTTTTTAAACGATTGCGCGAACGATTCAAATATCTTCTCTGTTGTGTCGAATTCACGCATGAAGTCTCGCACCCAGTCAGTGTGATACCCATAATTGACATTGCAGAGCAGAGAACTACGTTTCACCTCAGATGTTGATCCCTCTGCCATTTTGCATCCTTTGGTTTCGTTCTCTGTGGTCAAGATGACGTAACGCATTTTGTCAATCGTTTGATTGCTCCACTCATCGTCAAAACATTGTTTGATACTTGTATATTGTAATAATTTTGACAGAGATGCAGAACGTCCACTGGCTATCATGCAAAGCATGATTGTCAATCCTCCTGGGTATACGCCACTGTCTAAATTAAGTTTTGCTACATATTCGCGTAATGATTTAGGCACTGGATCCCACTGAACGCGAGGATTGTGAATCTGAAACAAATTCATCATTGAAGATATACACCACGTATTGTTTTCCATTGCTTTTGTGACTGCACATTTTTGTAACTTGCCTGTTTTGCTATACAACTCAGACAAGACAAATTTATGATCCCGCACCTTCTCGACAGCATTGGACACTCGAATTTCTGAAACGTCTTGTTCTGTGTTTCGTTGTGCTCGTTCTATCCAAAGCGCCACCCAAAAGTTTGCTGCCCGGCGACAGAAGCCCCCATCGTTCGTAGGCGGTAATTGCCTAACAACATTTATCAAAAATGTCTCTGCGTTTTCACTTGTTAGATCATCAAGGTATTTACGCCCAGTTTTTGCCGCATCCATTCCGCTTCCCTTGTAATAATTGTAAAGTTCTGTACATGAATTGAATCTCGTAGCATCTTCAAATATGCCTGCTTTAGCCATTTATTGTGAGAGTACCTCCAATACAATGAATCACAATAGTTTACTTGAGCCAGCTGTTTGAGCCAGCTGTTTACGGAGAGGTGGCATGACAACGACATTGGCGTAATCATGATGACAACAGCAGAGCAAATTGTGTAGTGAATAGTTGGACAAATGAGAACTATGGCATGTACGCAACAAAAAACTGATTGAAGCCAATACAGCATAAGAAAGCTTCAAGACGATCGCAGAGGTCCTGCAGGTGCCCAAGGAGAGTCTTCAGAGAGAGCTCACAAGGGCCCAATAACGACAATACAAATGAATATATCAAGTCTTTTACTGTTCCCGCGATGGCTCAAAGAGGCGTCCAACGTGAGACGCCCTCAAATCCCTGCAGTAATCTTGATGCTTGATTCCTGTCGGACACCGTCCTCTGACCCAGGCAAATCCTCCTCTTCCTCCTCCCTCTCCTCCTCTTCCTCCTCCCTCTCCTCCTCTTCCTCCTCCCTCTCCTCCTCTTCCTCCCCCCCCTCCTCTTCTTCCTCCCCCTCCTCCTCCTCCCTCTCCCTTCCCTCTCCCTTCCTCCGAGGAACTAGCGGTCAAGAGTGAAAGAGGGTGAACGATCTCCACGCACTCTAACTTATGCCCCCGTTGGGCGATGATGCATGCAATTGATTCCATGACAACCGCAACCCGCCTGAGCATAGTCTCTTCAACTTCAATGCCACATATGAACGACACAACTGGACGCCGAATATAGACACATAGGTGACAGAGCACATGGACGATCACTGTGGACACATAGGTTGCAGAGCGTATCATAAGCCATGTTGTAGCTATATATTCTCGCCAAGTTTGTGAAGTCATTGCGTATTGAATCATTTTTTTTTTTGTTTTTTTTTTTTTTTGAATTGTTTTTGTATCTCTCCCAATCATCTTGTATCAACTTGATTTTCCTATTTCTTCATTATCATCAACCTTTTTGTTGTATACATGCGATGTCTTTCGAACTATATCGCTCGCACAACATCTGACATCCTCGGCATTGCCAAAAAACTTACCAACAAATCTTTGAATCTTTGAATATTTGAACACTGATGTTTTCAAGGGTTCAAAGATTCAAAGATTCAAAGATTCAAAGATTCAAAGATTCAAAGATTCTCCAGGCACTCCCGATCTTACCCGATGTAATATATTCATTCACATGTAGTAGTATAGCTACACATTCTTCTACCATCATAACTATAAATATAAATTACTGTAAATGAAATTGTGAATGTTTGATATCTGATCATTTGAAAACCTGAGAATTTGAATATGTAAAGGTTTGAAGATTTCAATTCGTGGATGTTTGAAGAATTGAAGATTTTAAGGTTTGAAGAGTTGAAGATTGAATATTTGAAGATTAAAAGGTTTGAAGATTTGAGATCTTCAAATTGGAAAGTTTAAAATTTTGCATACTTGAATATTTGAATGTATAAGAAAGTAGTGTTGTTACGTTTCAGTAAATTTGGAGGAAATAAACTAAAATAGACAAAGAAGAACAAAGAAGATATTAATTCTATTGAACATTTAAAATGATGAAACATGCATAATCTTCTTCTTCTTTAGCAAAACAAATTTAACCTAGAAAACTTAAACTAAACAATACTAAAATATGAAACAATAAATATAAACAAAATGTGAAACCCGTGCATTGTAAAATATGAAAACAAATATTTATTTTGTTTTCAAAGAACAACATTGCATTTTATATTTGCCGGGTGGTAGAAATAAAAAGTCAGAAGCACAAAAAAGAACTATTTTAATTTTCATAACAGAAGAAACTGCAATTCAAGAATGTTGTTTAATCTAATAAGTATTAAAAACTTCAACCAGATAACATAGTTTGTCTCACTTCTGAGACACTATATTTTGTATTTCTATATACACGACATTGAACCTCGATTCGTTCTTTTGCAAATTTAAGAAAGTCTTGATGTTGAAGAACGTCCAAGCTTTATTATTCATCGCAAAATATTAACGCTATTTTTTCAAACAAAAAAAAGAAATAAAACATTTTTATGATATATTTCAACAAAGAACGTAATTTTGGCACGGATTTGAGACCCCCCCAAAACCACAAAACTGGGGGGGTCTCGAATCCAAGAAATTCCTATGGTTTTTGTACCAAAATTGCTCCAAAAATGCTTCGCAGAGCCCCCCCAAAAGAGGCTCCTCAGAGGAGCTATTTTGTGATCATTTATGTAAGTTATGTTGTTCCCGTGACGTTCGGAAACTCCCTGAATA